CGAAGGGCTCCCGCGCAAGGGTGCCACCCTCGCAAAAGGACATCAAAATGAAGAAAAAAGGGGGAAAAAGGGCCTCGACGTTAATCAAAGGAGGAGTTTATTGACGTTGGGGGTAAATGAGGTTTGGTTAGTGGGTTCACTTTTGGGGAGGGGGAGGTGAAGTTGTAGAATGGGAAAAAAAACTTAACCCTATGCACTAACAAACGGAAAAACTTTTTTTAAAAATGGTAACATAAAGAACACGTCAAAGGGGAAAAAAAACGCTAGTGCCGCTTCAACGCATCAATCCCATATATCGATTCCATACGACCTCACATTCGCTTATTAAGCTGTTTTTTTACCTTTTCTTTTTGAATCAGTACTTGTTTAGTGGTGTCACTTATTTTTCAAAAACGTTGAACAGGACTACCACTGTTCGTAATATAAACTGGAGATGTTATCCTACACTACATTATCGCTTACCAAAAGTAATTGAAGTATAAATCACAAAAAGAAAACATGAAAAAGATCAATCATTAAGTTCTGTGGGCAAAAATCAGAAGAAACGGAGCCATTTTTAGGACCGATTCTTTATTTTTCTTTATTATGAAAAAAATAAATAGCACTTTTAGATTACCCAAGATTTATCTCTGCGTGACTTTCCCTTTTTATTTGATAAACACTACTCTGTGATCTTTATAGGTTCGGAAACAAAAAACTTTATCCTTCGACATAAACTATAATTAAATGCATATAGTAAAAGGTTGTATATCATATTCACGTTGATATAATAAAAACGAATAAGTTTTCAAAAATTTACTAAATTCTATCTCTATATTAAAGTTTCTAAATGTAACTGTTCTTTTCACAGATTCACTTTTCCCCATCCTCGACATATTATTATTATTATTCCAACTGAATATGGTGCGTGTATTAAACCAATAAACTGAGGGAAATCTTTTGAAAGCGAGAGTCTGAGTTAGAAGAGGGAGGTGGGAGAAAGTGGCATCCATTTATTCTATGATCCACAATTCAAACACTCCTCAGAGTCCGCGGAGGACAATCCTTGTTTGACGGGCGTACTCACGCGGGATAATTCTTCGTCTTGGATCTCCTTCAGGCGTTTGGCATCCACCGTGAATTTAATCGCGTCCGCGGCGGGGCGGGTGCGGAGGTAATACATGCCCGTCTTGAGGCCCTTTTCCCAGCAGTAGAAATGCATAGACGTAATACGCCCGGAGGAAGGACTTTCCATAAAAAGATTCAACGACTGCGATTGATCAATGTACTTCCCACGATCCGCGGCCATCTGGATCACATCCCGCTGTGAGATCTCCCAGACGGTTTTGTAGAGTTTTTTGAGGTCCTCGCCGATCCCTTGCACGCGTTGGATGGAGCCGTTAAAGGTGATGATCTCGTTGCGAACGGTATCATTCCACATCCCACGCTCAACCAAATCCCGCACCAGATATTTATTTACCACGGGAAACTCCCCACTTAACACCCGACGAAGGTAAATATTCGAGGTAAATGGCTCAATACATTCATTATTGCCCAAAATTTGCGAGGTCGAGGCGGTTGGCATAGGGGCCAACAACAAGGAATTGCGCATGCCGGAGACCTTAAGCCGTGCCTTTAACGCATCCCAATCCCATCGCCCGCTCGTTGGTTTTTTCCCCCAAAGATCAAACTGCAAGATCCCCTGGGCCGCCGGGCTTTGGTCGAAATCGGTATAACTCCCTTCCATCTCCGCGAGATCCACCGAGGCCTCGACCGAGGCGTAATAGATGGTTTCGAAGATTTCCTCATTCAACCGCATCGACTCGGGCTCAGTAAAGGTCTGGCGAAGCAGAATAAAAGTATCGGCAAGCCCCTGGACGCCTATCCCGATCGGGCGATAATTCATATTGCTCCGCCGCGCCGTCTCCACTGGGTAGTAGGAATTATCAATAACGCGATTAAGGTTGTAGGTGACCTCCTTCGTGACCTCGTAGAGCAGTTGATGGTTGAAGACTTGCTTCTCGACGTCCACAAACCGCGGCAGGGCGAGGGAGGCCAAATTGCACACCGCTGTCTGCTCCGGGGATGTGTATTCCACAATTTCGGTACACAAATTCGAGCATTTAATCGTCCCGATGTGTTTTTGGTTCGACTTTCGATTGCACGCGTCTTTGTAGAGCATAAAAGGCACCCCCGTCTCGATTTGGGTCTCCAAAATCGCAAACCACAGCTCCTGCGCCTGAATCGTGCGCACCCCCATCTGACGCGCCTCATAACTTTTATACAACCGCTCAAACTCCTCCCCATAACAATCGCTCAGCCCCGGACAGGTGTGGGGATCCATCAACGTCCACGTCCCCTCGCTCTTCACGCGCTCCATAAAAAGATCAGGTATCCAAAGCCCGTAAAAAAGATCACGCGCCCGCTGATCCTCCTTCCCGGTGTTCCGCTTTAACATGACAAACTCGAAAATATCCGCATGCCAGGGCTCCAGATAAACCGCAAATGCCCCTTTGCGTTTGCCCCCTCCTTGATCGACATAACGTGCGGTGTTATTAAAAACCCGCAGCATCGGCACCAACCCGTTCGAAGTTCCGTTCGTCCCGGCGATATAACTTCCGGAGGCTCGAATGTTGTGAACGTGCAGTCCAATCCCCCCTGCTGCCTTGCTAATCACGGCGCACTCCTTCAAAGTGTCGTAAATCCCTTCAATACTGTCCTCCTTCATCGCTATTAAAAAGCAGGAACTCATCTGCGGACGGGGGGTGCCGGCGTTAAACAACGTCGGGGTCGCGTGGGTGAAAAAGCCATTCGACATCAAATCGTAGGTCCGAGCCACCTTCTCAAGGTTCCCACCGTGAATCCCAAGCGCCACCCGCAAAATCATATGCTGGGGTCGCTCCACAATCCGCATCTTCGCCCGACCCACCTCAATCCGCAATAAGTACGACCGCTCAAGGGTTTTAAAGCCAAAGTACTCATAATTCATATCACGCGAATAATCAATAATGCGCTGAAGCTCCTCGTGGTGGGTCTCCACGATCTTCCAGAGCTCCTCTGAGATGAGCGGGGCGGGGCGGCGGGTTTGAAAGCCAATATGCTCCCGCATCACGCGAAACGTCTCGAGGACGGAGTCGCTTGTAGCTTTATGAAGCGCCTTCACGCTCAATCGCCCCCCCATCAGGCCATAATCTGGGTGTTTGGTAACCATGTAGGCCGCCGTTTGGGCCATCAACTCGTCCAGGTGGGGCTGCGAGATGACGTCGGTCACGCCGCGGGCGACCGTCGCCACCAACACGTCGATTTCGATAAACCGCTGGTCCAACCCTTCCGTCACGCTCGCAAAGCCCCGGCGCAGCTTGTCGAGGTCGAGCGGGACTTTTTCCCCCGCGTCTGTCAGGACAAACGGGGAGTCGGTGGCCATCAGAAGGGCGGTCTGCAACAGAAGAACAGGGAAAACAAGGGGTCTGTGCTATTCACGTGTGTTGGGATACACCAATGTAACAATAGAAACCGAGAGAGAGATACAAGCAATACTTGGAAGGGTGCGGAAAGGGTAAAAAGTGGAGACTGTATTTCGTTTACTTTTAAAATGGGAGTAGATATATATAGTATTATTTATTTATAATAAAATGTATATGGAAATATATATATATATGACCTTAAATGTATGTAACTGGGATAAATAATAGAAGATAGGTAAATAAGGACCAAGATTTCGAAAAAAAAATAAAGACAAAAGGCGACCCCACAAAAAAAAAATAATGAAATTCCATCGATATTATTGGTTGGTTTGACCAAAGGGTCGTTGTTTTTGAGGTCATTATAAAGACAGAGAGGGAAAGATATTTAAATGCAATAGCCCAAAACCTAATCCCTCGGGTGGATGTCAACCTCGCAATTCGCGGGCGTTGGATGGCGTCAACAACCGAATAAGCTGCAGGCCATACCGCGTCGCCAAAAAGGAAGACCACGCCGCGGACCCCGAACTTTCCACCCACGCCCGCGCAAGGTCCCCACAAGGTGCTAAAAGTCCCTCATCTAAAGCACCATTATCAACTCCCATCGCGGTTTTATCGTAAAACCCTTCAACGTAGACCGAAATCCACTCCAGCTCATCAGCCACCGTCCAGGAAGACAAGAAAGGCGAGCCTAATAAAAGGTTTTTGGAATTAAACGTGAGGGCGTAGTGAATAAGCCCAAGCCGTAAGGACCACATACCCTCATGACCTTTATCCACATGCCGATGTAATTCTCGCTGGGTGAAGGTCATCAAAGAATTCCATAAAAAGACCGAAAAGGGCCGCTCCACCCTAGACCGGCGGTGATTATCAGGAACATCGGAGGAGTCCTCGCCCTCGTGAAGGTCCGCCCCTTCGTTGGGTGCACATTGGTGAAATAAAAATAGCAAAAATGCGCAGGCCGACGAATCTGCGTTGTGGATTTCAAGATAACTCATCACTTCCACCACACTACGCTGGATAAAATCCCAATAAATCGAGTTTTCAGGGTTGTTTGAAAAAAAGCAAGGAGGGCCACAACATCGCAATAACGTCAGGCGGGCACGGCGATATTGCCATGCGTTGTAATTCATGGGGTGTTCATCCGAGGCAAAACGAAGGACCTCCTCATCTAACTCCCAAACTCTAAATAAATCAAGCGTATTGCATGTATTTGATGGGTTTTCATTCAGGTTAAAATCACGTTTGAGATTGACAGCGCTAGAAAAAAAAGATACCGTTCTGAAATCAGTTCCCAGCGGAGTAAGAACGAAACCCTTGTCGGACAAGAAGTGGTTCGCAACCATAAACTTCAAAATCCATTCTCGGTGAAACCAAATATCTTTACTTTTGCAAAAAAAGCTCAGTAGAAGGTCCGTCAGGACGAATTCTTTCACGCAATCCAGGAGAAAGTCATCGGATCGCGCTATCGGGGGCGTATTATGATTATCATTATTACTATTAGTATTATCCGGAGGGGGGTGTAAAAGTGTCGCTTGGGGTTGGGTTTCCCGCAGTTTCGCCCGACGCACCCCCCACAATCCTTCATACTCCGGCATTAATAATAAAATGAGGGGAATTAACGTTGGAGGAATCTGCGCGATAAGACGTCTTGAAAGATTAATCGGATTTTCACTCCATTCGGACGAAGGGGCGGTGGTGCGGGCCTTGAAATGTTTAACCGCCATGTTAAAATGCTCGCTCGAGGTGAAATTCGTGGTTTCGACAAACGTTTTAAGATACGAATGGATTTTCCGGGAAAGAATTCTCGGCGCCACCGCGACCGCGAGCTCCGTGGAGGGTGGATCGTATTGATATCCCCCTGTTGGGCAGAGAAAGTCTTCGTCAAGACCGATAAGTTGGATTAAAGTTGTGAGAGTTGGAAGGTAGGAAAAAAAAACCCGCAAGGATTTGGTATCAGTCATACGCTCGGCCGTATTTGTAGTTGAGTCTTGCGGTTTAAAATACAAAATTCGACGCCTTGCCGCGGTGGTGAGGATTTTGTTCAATCCCGCGGCGGCTTCGAATAAATCCGTCGTGTCCTCACGAAGCATTCCCTAATCCTGTAGAAATTTTTAAAAAAGATCCTTCCTGAGCCGTATACATCTAATTTTTGTCCTTTCCAGAGCGAGGTGTGAAAACATAAAACTGCAAAAGTAATCCAAAAGCACACCCCCTGAGCTCCATTTCTTTCCCCTTTAAAATTGTAGAACCGCATAGCAGCAAAGGAGAAGGAAGTCAAATAAGAGACCATCCAGGAAAAAAAACTCATTTTTTTAACTTCTTGATGCTATTCCACGTTTGATAACATTATATTAGCAATAATTCAAGGGTGAAGGCAAGGAATTAAAAAGAAAAAACACCTTTACAGACAGCATGAAAAAAATAAAGTCATTAATCCCCACAAATGCTGTAGAGAGTTTTTCTAATCAAGGCCTCTAGATTATTGCTGTATGAGGATATCTTTAGCCTCGTTCAGCTTCATCATGATGTATGTCGACCCCCCGACATCCGAGTGAAGCTCCTTTATCAGCCCGCGATAGTGTTTCTTCACCTCCCCCTCAGTGGGAGGGTAAGGTAGTCTTGAATCATCCACGCTAAACCCCAACAAAAGATACGCCTCCCTATCCGTCATCTTCTTTTTAAAGCCGTATTCGTAAATCCGATAGGGCGCGGGGGCCCTCCGAACCGAAGCCGCCGCCGCGGAAGTAATGGGCGGACACTCCATGAGGGCCACCCGCTGGAGAACTCGGGGAATTAACCGCGCGGTGTAAAATAAGGTCACTCCGGTGAATACGCCTATTACAATAGGAAGAACCATGGGAGTGAAATAATAATAATAATAAAAGGGTGTTTTGGGTTTATAAAGCTATATTTTTTTAATGAATTTGGTATATACTTAACTGCACACTAGGCCGTGAAAATGAATAATAATAATACGATAGATGCGTAGTTGGTCAAAAATAAAACCATTTTTTTTTTTTAGGGGAGGGGAATGCGCAATAAATATTAGATAAACATCTGGCTACGCCATTTTTAAAAGCGCAGTTGACCTCACATTCCAGTATGAGATGTATTGAAAAGATTGACAAACATTGTACCAAGTACTCCATGCTTATAAGTCAACAAAACTAGCGCACACTAAAAAAAAAAAAGAGATAATCAGAGAGAGTAAGGGGTGCATATCCAGCAGGCTGTACATCCAAAATAGTAATTAGCAAACAAATAAAAAAACAAAACATTCTATAGCCCTCAGCTTACACGTTGTGAGTGGGAACTATTAAGATTCGAGTTGATATAAAAAAGGAGCGCCTTGATCACCTTTTCTTTATCATGCCATGTCATTTCCTCAATGTAGGCGCCCATGGAAGGAGGAGAGGGGTCTCCGGTGGACGCAGGGGGGCTTCCTTCCACTTTATCTGCCCCGTGGACGGAGTCCCCCACACTAGACAGCCGCAAAGTCGTGCAATCGGGAGAAATGCGCGAAAGTTCGGGCAGCACCGTCATCCCGAACATCTTCGTCGAGTCCTCCGCGCGGGTTGAGGAGACCATGCGAAAAGGCGTGGATCGGGCCGGCGAGGGGGCCGGACGGCCCGCGATTTGCGAAGATGGGGTGGAGAACGGCAGCCTGGAGCCATCATTCGTTTGCGGGGTCGGCCTGCCCGCCTTGCCGGGCCCTCGCCCGGGGTCGCGCGAGGCGGAATGCCGGCTTTTCTCCGCGGACAAGGTCGCGTGCATGCCGGTCTGATACCGCCGGCAGTCCGCCAGGACTTTGTAGAAAAACGTCTCCAAGTCGCTTCGCTGTTCCACCACCCGCGCCGCGTACTGCCGCACGTGTTGGAGCTCCGTTCGGTGGGTTTTTAGGGTGTTTTGGGTGGCCTTGAGCTCCTCTTCTAAACCGCGAATGCGACCCTCGTATTGGTGGGAAAGTTTGGTGTGAATCTCCTCCAGCTCGGCCTTTTGCTCGCGGAGTTTGAACTCGAGGCGCTGAAGTTTGGAATCCTTGCCGCGCTGCTGGCGGATTCGAACCACGCTGTGCTTTAAAACCTCCTCGTGGACATTGCGGTGGAGCTCCATCGAGCGCTGAAGGGTCGTGAGCTCCCCGCCCATTGTTGAGGTCATCGACAACAACCGTTCCATGTCGCGGGTCATATCGATTTTTTCCTTTTGGAGAGTGGCGTTCTGCTCGATCAGAGTTTTATGGCGCTCCTCCGTGAGTTTCTGAAGCCTCTGCTCGACCACGTTCTGAAATTGCTCCCGCATGACCTTCTCCATCGCAAAAAGCTTTATTTTGCGATCGATAGCCTCAAATTTGAGGTTGAAAAGCTCCTTTTGGTGACGGGTCTCCACCTCGGTGAACTGCTTTTGCAGGTTGCGGAGCTCTTGCTCGTGCTCGTCGCGTTCCCTGATAAAGCAAGAGGCCTGAAGAACTTCCGATTGAAGTTGGGGTATTAACTTGGCGTACTCATCTATTTGCCGGTCCCTCTCATGAAGCGCAAATTCGTACCGCTCCACTAGTTCTTTTTCTATTGCGGAATGTCGCTCAAGTTGTTGGGTGATTTTATCCTTGAACTGCGCTGACTCCTTTAGGGCATTCTCCAGCTTTGTTTCTAGATCATGAATAACACTATTAGAATTTTGACCGTTCTGGGCAATACTAGTATTTATAGGGCTATCCACAATGGTTGATTCAATACGTCTACGATTACTCCCAGATAACACCCTTTGCTTAGTAGAACCCGACTTACTGTTACTGGAAATGGAAGAAGGTGGTCTAAATTTTGAAGAACTAGGCCTTATAGATGTCCGTGAGGAACCATCTCGAATGGATGGTCTCATTTTTTTATGTAACTATTCTAGTAAAAGGTAAAGGAAATAAAAATAGGTGCTAATATTTTTGAACAGTATTTTCTAGACACATAAATTTATTTGATTCACCTATCCTTGTTCTCAATTTTAATTTATTGGACTTGGGATTCAGATCCACATAGATGTACAAAATGGTATATTCTTATTCTGTAGATTAAAAAAAAAATCACATGTATTTTTTGTAGGGGGTTCTGCGCATCCTGTATATATAAGACCAGGTAAATTGAGTAAGATCAAAAAAGTAAGCCATACTGCTTACGTTTCCGCCCATGTACAATTTCTTCCTATCTGCACAGAATATTATTCGTTGTTATGTATTCATTGTTATTTTTGTTCTATTCAGCCACTGTAAGGTGCTGTTTGATTCTCTTATGCGCCGTTTTGGACTACCTTGTTTGAACAAGATACTTTTTGGGTTGAGATAATGAACCGATTTAGCCGCGCGTGAGTGGTGGCTTTCCAGACAAATTCCGGCTTTCTTGAGCCTTTTCCACATCCCGTAGGCAACTAGGCATGCTGGATTCAGTAACTGAGAGGTCCCCCGGATGTTGACGCTCATACTGCCGTCCATCGTAAAACGCCATGCGCACCTGCTCTTCTACCTCCTTACGGAGCTGCTGAGCAATCATTTGACGATCTTTTACAAGTTCCTGATAAGCCTGCTGAAGCTGTGCGCTGTGGTCGCGAGCAAGATTCTCACTATGCCGCTGCTCCGTCACGTAAAGACCGCTTAATCGCTCAACCTCAAAATCCGCCATGCGCTGACGCTCTTTTAACATTCCCACCTCCCGCTGGAGCTGCTGGATCTCGTTTTGTTGATTACGAATTAGCAGAAGATCCGCATCTGTCGCCGGGGCTCGCATGACGGCAGCGAGCTCGTCAAGTGCATCCCTGTCGTGTGTTTGCGCAGCGACCTCGACGCCCATGAAAGCATCGTTTCCGAGATCCCGAGGTCCACTTTTCCCCGATGTCAAGCCATCCCCTTCCCGCGTGAGCATCAAAAACTCCTCGGTCCAGGTAAGGCCCGCATCAAAGGCGATCAGCATCGGTTCCCAAAAAAGGTCCTGCAGCAGGGCCTGCCGCGCGGCCGTCTCCTCCTCAGCTAATGCATTCAATCGTTGGATATGAATGTCTCGATCGCTCCTATTGGTTCCCTTTTCAAGGTCTAATTTGGCCTTCACACCGGCCCCTCCTCCTCCTCGGGGTTGGCTTGGTGGATAGGGCCCGCCCCCACCGTCCACAATTCTCACGCCATCATAAAGATTACCAGTCCGCATAAATTCTTCCATCGAGACGAGGCGTCGGGAAAGGTGAAGCTCCTCCTGCCGAAGACGCTCCACCTCCAACGAGGCACTCGCCAAGGAGGAGCGGAGCCCTTCATTATCTATCTTCAGGCGCTCACAGCTACTCTGCAAGGAATCTACACGCTCGACAAGATCATTCCGAGTGGTGCGTAATTCTTTCCGCTCCTCCTCCCCACGCTGAAGCTGCTGAAGCTCCGCTTCGCGCAGTAAACTAAGATGCGCGAGGGCGTCGTCCAATCGTTGGATTTGCGATTGCGCGATTAAAGGGTCGAATCGAGCGAGGGAATCGCGCAAGGCTGCGTGGATAGCCTCATCCGTGCGAGAAGCTGCCACCACCGCGGCGGTGCATGAAGCCGCAATGCGCACCATCACCACTTCCTCTTCTTCCTCCTCTACTTCGCTTTTTGGATCTGATGAACCACTAAAATGTCCACGACTTTTCGTGGGGCTATCCGCAATTTGTGGGTCGATTTTCGAAGGTGAGATCGCGGCCGATGCATGCAGGATGGTTAAGATCCGTTGCTGCTCCTGGATTTGGAGAAACGCGCGCTGGAGTTGGGTGTGGAGGTAGGTCAAGTGATAAAGCAGGCGCTGACGATCGCTGTAGTCGTTTGTAGTAATAAGAGGGAGCGAGGGTGTCTGGTCCATGGACATCGTCGCCGAGGGAAGTCCCGCGAGCCCCTCCAGGTTCACCCCCGTGCAAGAAGGCAAAAGGGAGCTGGGGATACCCCTTCCCCAGACTCCCCCCACAGCGTCCACCGTCGTGGTCGGGATGGCACCCACCCTCCCCGATGAGCCCACGCTATCCTCCCCTCGGGTGCGATTATCGGACGGTTTAGGGTTCTGTGGGGCCCTAGAGTAACCCTTCGTATCCCCCCTATAGGTGCCCGAGCTGGGACAGGCCTCGTACTCCATTGAGTCGCTGTTGCAGGGCTTCCTAAAGGGTTCCGTCACCGCGTCTAGGGTGATACTGGACAGGAAGGACTGAAGGTTCGCGTCGGACTCGGGCTGAGGGGGGGAGGAGGTGGTGAGACAGGAGGAGTGAAGGCCATCCGACCCCGCGGCGTACCCGTTACTGCTGTGCGGGACTTGTGAGCTCAACCCCATGGACATGCCGTTACAGAAGGGTAAAACAGAGGAGGGGGGGGGAGGGGAGGGGGAGGAGGGGTCGCCCTGTTGAGTTTGTGTGTCGTGATGGGGAAAAGTTGTAACGAATTTTATTAAGGTCGGCACAAGCTGAGAAAGATGGGATCGGACAGACTACTTGATGTTGACCTAATCCCTCGGTGCGCGCCTAAGTTTTGGTCTTGGCTTTTTGTAGAACTCTGAGGTCCCTGTATTTTTTTTTTTGAAAATAATAAAAAAGAGAACGTAAAATGGTTTAAACACCAATATATATGTACGAATTGAAGCAGTATTCTATAATTCTATGTATTATACTACGTATCTTAATTGATAACAGTTTAAACAACAAGATAGGTGGCTTCTATGAAAGTAGGCGCTAATATAAGGTTATGAGACCCAACCTTTAAAATGGTTTTACAAAAAGCCTAATAGTTATTGCTGTTGTTTACAGAATTGCGTTACGCTTCTCAGTGCTTATCTACGGGATGTAGCACGTCTTCATTTTTTGTGCAAAAAATGAATAGAAATGAGAAAATTTGAAATAATTAAGTGGTAAAAAATAGACAAATATGACAATTGAGAAATACAACCCTCAAAATGTAAAAATAGTAGCAATAATATTATTACCCATATATATATATATATATATATAGATATATCTGTGTGTATCTATGTATTTATTTTTGGTGATGAATGCATCGATTTAGATGTGTTGGTAAAAAGCTAACATAACGTGGAAATAGAGCTACTTTTTCTGTACATATCAAAGTAAGTATTTTACACATCAAGAATATTAAGCCTAATATTACGTACAAATACTTGTTCAGGCACCTTCGCACACGGGGCATCTAATATAATAATCACGGTGATACGTGTCAATAATTGGGGATGCCGGTGAAACCTAGAGTACTAGGGAAAAAACTAATATTTTCAGTATATATTATTTAACACAATAATATATAAAGAAAAATAATATATATTACCATGCATGTAATATTAAGCTTAGAAAGTGCAAAAACTATGATTATTGATACTATACCACAAAACTCAAACTGATTAAAATGTACCGTCAATTAAATTAGTGACTTTATTTCATTGTTAAACTTAGTATCTAATAGAGATAAACTCCCTATCATAAATCGTTACTACTCCATGTGTGTACCCACACTGAGGAATCAAATTAATGTTATTTTAAAAATGTGTGGTGCCTTTGCAGATTGTATTCTACTTTTCTCTGTGGAAGTCACACGGTAGGTAACGATCCTTTCCCACAACCATAAATATTTATATAATCGGATCCTAGCACACACCGCGCTGTGGTGGTTAGCGTAAATGAAAAGGTTAAGCCCCATCACATGCAGCCCCAATTCATCATTTTTAATGGTTTCTTTTTTACAAGCACCAAACTTAAGACGCAAAAGAGCTTCAGTGTAATTTATGGGAACACCTCAGTGTTTCCCCATCCCCTAATTTCCACATAAGCTTTAGTATGCCCCTCATCGCAATTTCCATCCCGGAATAGCCCGGGAAGTAGTTAACGTCGATGACCACGGGCACCGAACCCATTAAATAAGTTGTTGGGGCACCCGTTTGAAGATCGAACATGGATTCTGGATGGTGTGGATCCTTGGTGGAAGACACCACGGGTGGAGGCTGATAGCTGACAGTTGCCCCCTCCGTGTAGCCAATTCCCTTCGGATAGGCCTCAACATGGTGTTGATGAGCCAAAGCGGACGGCACTAAAAGAATATCAAAGCCGTAAAGATGAAGCCCCAGGCCCTGCTGGCCAGACAGCCCTTTTACCAAATCCACCACCGCGGCCCAAGCGGGGGTTCCTTCGGCAAAAAATGCCTCCCAATGCTCAGGATGCACACCACAACTAAGAGGAGCCATTTGATGTTCGGTTTCATGACCATTATAAACTGAATTCAACAAAGATTCCCTACTCGCGGGCCCGGCCCCGAGCAAGGAAAGCCATTCCAAAGAGAAAATTGCTTTGTTCTGCGAGTTAACCTTTACAGGCTTATCAAAACCATCCTTGGAACCAACCTGATCCAATACCAAGGACAGAAGCTTGTTTGTCGGTTTGACCTTTATAAAGATATCCGACCCAACGCAGTAAACTTTGACGACCACCGGGAAGGCATAGGTGTAAAATTCTTGTATGATGTATGCGGAGGGCTCTACGTTGAGTGTGGCCTGGATTTCGGGTGGCACCCAAACTTCTGCGTTTGGGCTCTTCCAGATCACCAAATCATGCGTGTAGGACAATCCTGTGCACTCATCCGGCTTTGCAACCCACCAATTTTCGCCAGAAAGATGACTGGCAGAGTGCGTGTGCGGTTTCTCAGACTCCAATAAGGAGGAATGGGTACCTATCGGTGTAAAAACATGCTGAGGAGAAATGCTCATTACTCCATTTCCGTCAACCCCAAGATCTCCCTCACACTTGGGGGTTTTCGAAGTCTCAGGAGATTCCCACCAAAAAGTTCGGGGCATCAATGTTGAAGAATGATGCCCCGCATCCAAGTTGTCAAGAAACTTGTACACCACGGAGCGCAAGGAAAGCACCTGCATTTTGTCAATGGAGTCTAACACCATTAAAGGTGGTCGTTTGAATGATATTCGGAGTTGGGAAACCCTTTCGCACCACGCATGCAGGGCGCGGGTGACCTCAGGCAAACCGTAGGTGATCACCTTGTGCAAAATGACGTCCACCTCCTCGGGACGCACGTGTGAGTCCACACTACTCTTCCTCCCTAAACCGTTAAGCCTGTCATTAAAGCATAAACTAGAGGTCTGGTTATTAGTTTCCAGCAAATGTCCGTTTGTGTGTCGATGTTCACTATACAGGCCGGATTTGCGGCTAAGATCACCATCCCCCGTGTGTGGAAGAACACAATCCTTCTCACCCGCAGAGTCCTCAGTGACGTCAAACGTTGGAGCTAAAACCATTCGCTCGTCCTGGGCGTCGTAATTAAGACTAACAAAACGAAAAAAACACGGTGGCATTTGTACGGATGTTGATAATCCCCCAGAATCAACCTCTGAGGCTAAACCCAACCCTGCAAGGTCAAACCCTGCAGGTTTCGCAATGCCAGAACTGTCATCATTAAAGTTTAATGCCAAATGAGAAGATTCGGACTGCCGAAGTGCGGTGTTATGCCTTGCCGCAGCCCGTTTAATAGCCTCAAAGGATTGCCGGTGTTTCTTCGCACTACCGCAGACAGCGATGGTAAAAATATCTTTCCCCTTAAATTGGGGGAGGGCCGCTACCATTAATATTCTTCCCTCGTTTCACACCTCGTTCCTGTGAGGTTGATCTATTTATTTTATAACTATCAGGGCGTAGTCTGTTGCTTTTCAAATCCTGTTGTGTGGGAATAAGTTCTCGTCCGGCTGCTCGTGAATACTCTAACTCAAAAAGAGCCTGAGATATCGCTACAGCCGATACCTCCTGAACAGCTGAACATACTGAAGGAAAAAGTCGCGAAGAGTGAAATAGAATGTTGAAAAAGCATCATGAATCTATTAAACAAACAAATAATAAAAATGAAAAGGTTTGAACAGTGCGCCCTCTCACGGTTTTTATTACTATATGTATATATATATATATATATAGCAATCAAAAAAATCCTTTATAGGATTGGATGCATTCTTTTTTTTTGAATATTAAAGAAAGAATGTGTAATGAATAGTGATAATACAATAACTAATTAAGATATCTCCGTGGATGTAAAGACATTCATTTCGTAACGTTGGTAGTTCTCCCACACGAAACCATCTTTCTTCAATAGTGTTCAACTTTAGGTCAGCGTAATATTGGGGGCGTCAATATGCTTACAGCCTTCGAAGCATAAGCCGGGTGATTATAATACACAAACCATAACCACTTCAAAGAAGCCGTTGAATGGTTCTGATAGGCCACATTTTGCTTTCCCACCACTATTTCAGGCGCCGTCTCCATCACATCAAGCGATGGCCACGTAACCCACGACACGCCAACCATAAAAAGACCCATCATAAAAGACAGGGAAAGGTGCGTGTTGGTCGCCTGCATAAGGCGACGATGCTCACGCGCGAGCTTTTCTTTTTTCTCCGCCGGCACACGCCAACGTAGAAGTTTTAAACCGCTATTCAAAATAAAAGAATGTCGTGGTAGGGCACTCTGCCAAAGCCTCGCTGTTCGCCAAGTCATAAAGTACAAACCGGTCAATAAAATACAAGGGTTTATTAACAGCTCCATTCCGCGTAAACCGCGACTATTCATCTGCGTGCCGAACTGACGATCCACCGTGTTTTTGGCTTGTTGTTCGATGCTGGACAGCTCGATAATCAAAAAACGTAGCTCTTTGATGGAAAGCGTGTGCGGAGGACGCCTATAAATATCCACAAGACCTCGCTTGAGGTCGAGTTCGTAGCCTGCGATCGGGCAGGGTGGCAATTCACTGAGTTTTACACTTTTCGTCGGCTGATCATCTCCTTCACCCGCCTTTTCAAGCGACTTGACCTTTATTGGGATGGTTTTGTCGTCGCTTGCATTACTACTACTAACCCTGAGTAAGTCTGAGGGGACTTCGGATTGAGGTTTAGTTTTATAAAAAAAAACGCGATGCCAAAACGAACTAGAATCCGAGTCAACCTTTTCTACGATCTTGGATCTCTCCTCATGAAAAACTTTCTCGGAGTCCTGCGCAGTGGTCAACCAAAGCGTGCCTACAGAAAGATCACCTTGATGCGCCTGTGGGTTCTTCGGATAATTCGAACTGTTCTGAGGGTAGAAATCGTTGACAGCGCTATCGGGAAAGGCCACATGACTAGGAGAAAATATAGAAGCTATCGCCCTATTGGCCTCCTCAACTCTGTCCCTGTCGGAGGATCTCGAGGCTTGGAATGGCCATACCATTGAGCCCTTTCCTCTATCAAAACCTCCTTTTGTATGGTTATGTTTCAGAGATGTGTGCAATCCTAGTGACTTTCTAAGCCCGCCCACACAACCACTAACACACACCAAAAAAAGAAAGATAAGAGAATAATAAATAGGAAACAATAATGCACTGGAATGCTCACTAAGCTTTTCACGACTGAATATCCTCGTTAATATGGTTCTAGGGAATTTTGACATAGAAATTGGGAAAAAATATCCATGGAGTACAGTCAATATATATCTATATATATATATATATGTCCTTGACTTTTTTAACGGAACACTATTTCCCTTTTGAACACATAGCTGTGAACAAAAGGGTTATTATTTACATTAGGTACTATGAGTAAAGTTTGCTGATAAATCGAAATAGTACATGGCAGAAAAACAAAGAGAACGTCCCTTCTGGATTTTGTTCCCTCTTTAGGCCAATGCTTCCTATAAATACAATATCCTTCAGAATCTTACTATTAAGAAAAGGAATAGCCTTATACTGGAATAAATAAAACACGTCCATATCCGCAGCGAACCCTATGCCCGTGATACAAGAGATTCAATCGTTCTCAAACGGTACCACTCCGTGAATGCCTTTAATAGTTCGATTAGTCGATCCTTTCGGTTGTATAACACGGCCAGAACATCAATTAGGCTCCAACCTATCATCTGGAAGGACCCCTCCACCTCCATTTCCGGATCACTCACCTCAGACGCCGCGGTTTCATTCAGGGGGATAAAACTTTCCAACAAGGAAGGCTCGCCAAAAAGCGCCGTCATATACGGCCCACCGGTGTCCTTTTGGCAATTCTGACATATTAAAAGATCCACCAGGAAATGGCGTATTTCCACGGGCAACGCGTTTTGCAGTGGTGCAACAACCTCCAGGCGTTTGGTGGTATAAGGATCCTCCAAAACTTTGCATAATGTCCTTAGGGCAAGTTGGCAATGTTTGCCAGGGGGAAACGGCATGGTCGTCCTCCCTTTTCCACCCTTTTCGTCTATTGGTGGTTTAGGAATTGCAAAATCGACACTTCGGCATTCCTGTGCAAAGCCGCACACGCCGCCATTCCTTTCTTCGACATGTCGCGGATAGGTTTCGTCCTCCTGCATTTCGTCAGAGACACTCCTAGAGAAATCTAGAATATAATAGTCTTCCTTTTGGTCGAAAATATCACTGGAGGACGTTTCAAATGGTCGGCGGAACATCGATTTATAAATACGATTCCACTCGTCATGCGATTGGGGTTCATTATGAATGTGGTACATCGCCTGTACACACCAGCGCGTTAGCGCACCACAGAAAAAGTTTTGGTGGTTTGCATCCTCAAGATTTGGAAGGTTGGCTTTAAAAGTCGGGGGAGAGTAAGCACCATCCAACAAATAGTCCAACATGTATTTTTTAATTTCCTCAATCCGCGCTTCGGATGTTTCGATCGCGGGCAATAACGTCCACTTCATCCGTCGGCATACAAGACTGGAGACAACCCGGTGGTATAAGACTTCGAGATCCTGAGGAAGAGCCCATGTTGAGGAATCCGTTGAGGAGGATACAGAATAGGATGAAATTTGATGAAATGATGTCTTTAAACGATCCAGATAATAGGAAAGAAGTGGCCCATCGTGATCGCGCGCTAAAGCCTCCTGTAGGAACTGCGGAGTCGCGTCCAGGGCTTGTAGTAATACGCGCACGCGACCCACTATTCGGTCGTGCACGATTTTTTCTCTACGGTTTGACGAACTAGCAAGAGAAGTCATCGGGATCCCACTAATTGTAGATTGCGTAATTAAAAACGAAAGCAAATCTACGCCATACTCCACACAAAAGTAGGCGGTCGCCGGTACCACCGTATCTAAAGGTTCGTCATTATCGGTGGACGGTTCAATGTGGTAAGAAGCGAATAGATAGTCCTTCATATTCTCGTTGATTTGTCTTACCAAGGTTCCTAAAAATGGGTTGGTGCTAATAAATTGAGTATAGTACAGGTCTCTATTGTTATCATCGGGAGGTAATGCGGTCAATATTCGATAGACGGTATGATCACTTTTTTCGGGAATGTGATGAGGCAAGGTGGAATTATGTGAGTGAGATATGGAATGCCCATCCAGTCCACCGCTTGCGAGGGATTGAAGCCGAACAACCGTTCTTTTTGGCAAAACATCCCAATCTAAAACAAGCTGAAGTGGCGGCGGCCTTTCCACGCCCCCGGTCTCCTTTCCATAGCACCGCCATAACCAATCTCGGCGCATGCGTATGGCCTTCAAAAGTTTCCCAGCGGTATAGGCATAAATGGGGTTCCCCGATAGGTCAATATACTCAAAAGGAATAACCGCAAACCGGCCATCGCCGTTTTCACGCATCTGATCATCCCCATCTGCGGGGGCGGCAGCCATAGAAGTCGAAATTGATCCCGCGGGGGTGAAGGATGGAAGTAAATCCACCCCCCTCAAGTTTTTTTTCGATTGAAAAAATGAGGCCGGGGCGGTGCGCAAGGCGAGGGCTGCACAAAGGGCTTGGACGCCCAGCGGACCACAGCCAATCTTGGCGGCCTCGATTCGCCGAATCCACAACATGTAAGGCAAAACCCGAAAACACGCAGCAGCACCGGGATCGCCAAGATAATTCTGTCGAAGATCTAAACACGTGGGGTAGGCCGTCTCAAGATCGTCCATGTAGTCCAACGCCGTAAAATAGCGCACCAGCTCGCTGTTGGATACGCAGCCCAAGTCTTCACAAGCATAGGTGTAAAGCTTGGTAAGGCCGCGCATGGGGAACGAAGGATACGGTGAGCCTACAAATACATGCAAGGATAAACCTTTTAATGGATTAGGGAAATATTGAGGTAAGCGGAATCGTTAGATAGCGACGTTTGAAATACCTTATACAAGTGTGTCTACAAAGTACATATATGTATATATATATATATTCAAAATAGATGAGGTGGTTATAAAGAGAAAAAAAAGTCAGAAGACACTTTGAGCATTAAGTAAACCCCAGATCTCAGTATTCACACTCACTAATAATAATATTGTAATTAAATGGAGAGGGTCGTCAAAACGGATCAAATTCTAAGTGTCAATGTTGAACCTCGGAAGTCTAAAACCGCTGCCGCAGCGGCACAGACAACGCTAACGCCATACAGATATATTTAAAAAAAAAAGAGAATCATATACGTTCTCTCACGTTTTCCACACCCGTGTCCCCACGCTTCAAGGCACCCGATACGCAGCGATCCAACACCTCAATCATACCCATCACCTCGTTTGCAAAGGTGTCCGATGGAAAAGATATGTGAATTTTCGAAGAACAGTTGTCCGCGCTGGGGATGCCACCCGTCGTATCGCCCTGCTGAAGAGAAAAATGAGAGAATGGGGTCGCGCCGCGGTGAGCCCGCTCAAGGTAATCCTTCTGAATCGAGAGTTTCAAGGTGTCCTCGACGCTCCTCTCCTCTAACCCCGGCCCTCCCCCCATGACTTGCCCTTGCTCAGAGGTTGAAAAGGCCTGGGGTGGCTTTAAAACGAGGGAAGGGTAGGCCACATCCACGGTTAACCCCAAAAATGAGTTGTTTGGACGATTTGGTTCACTGATTGCAGAAGCTTGCCCATTCTCACATACTGGGCGGCTACTGATCGAAGATAGAAGCGAAATATCAACATCCGTCCTCGGCGTGCGTGCTGGGCTGGGGTTTCTCGGCCGAAGGTGCCCCGACGCGGGTGCTAAATCACATAAGTCGTTCACCTTTACAAGGGTTTGTTCATTGCGAGAAGCATATTTAACGGTCGCACCTGCCAAGGATGGAGGGGACATAGTGACCCCAGAACCGGCGTCATGCGTAGTGGAGCGGGTCTTTTCGTCGTGATCGAACAGGCGACGATGGTTCGCTCCGAATGATTGCGCATGATTCATAGAACGAGAGGGCGCGGTCAAACACCAGATCGGTGAAGGCAGCAGTCCATGCCCAGGGTAACCGCCCGAGGAAAGAGCATCGACAGTTTTCACAACCTCTAAGAGCCCACGCATGACGGAAATGGGCTCCCCATTGCCTTCAGAATCCAGTAGCTTGGAAATGGTCTCAGACCATACCTCCGCGCCGGAGCGTCCACCTATGGAACCCGCTATACGCCTGTTGTGCAGAACGCTGTCCTCCGATGACAACGCTTCTCGAAATAGATCACACCACCACCGCCTTTTTAAACTTCTACCGTCCGTTCTTCGACTATTTAATGCAGCATTACGCAGTCGGAGAGCCGCCAGGACGGTAAGAACCCATATCCGCAGAGACTTTCGTCTGTGTCTACTGGATAATCTAACGCCTGAAGTATAATGAGCGAATGTGTTGCGGGTACCTGTAAGGGATTGCAGATAGCGATACAAAATCTCTCGCTGTTGTATGACTGCTGCCAGATCAAAAATGAGACCACGACAAGCCGTAGCAAAGAAGAGCAGCAGGCTATCCCGCACTCCCACGCGCTTTTCTAGTTCCTCAATCATCATTTCCGCATTTGATGCCAATTTGCCTTGACTTTGCTGTGGTGTTGATACCATCCCGTGTAAAGTGCATGGGGGAGTGAGAACCCCTTTCTGGCGAAGTCCACGCTGCGGTAGATACGCTGGGGACCCGGTTTGGTAGCACGGCTTCATCTCTGGGATTGGAGTGGGTTTCAGTTGGAGAATGGACTCGCTATTAGCAGGTTGAAGCGATTGCACCGAGCTGGTGTGCTTTGGGCCTTCATTCGCACCTTCCGACAGGAGGTCGAAGCGGCGCGCATTCTCATTTGGCTGTCCCTTCCCTGAATCACCGGTAATACTTGCCGCTTTGTACTTCTCGTGGTCAGCTACTTTGGTGGATGCCGTTGCGTCCTGGCATTGCCGTTGGAGTTGTTTTACGCAGCACTGCACCGCCTCCCAAGTGACATCGCAGCCCAGCTGGCAAGCCAAAGCCCTCAGTCCATGCGCAGAATCCATGTCTACTACTGCTTCCCCCTCCAGATCCCGCACGGACTTTCCCAAAGGTTGCTCGTAGGCTTGCTGACGAAGTGGTGTGATGTTAGAAAGAGTGTCTTGAGACTGGTGTATGTCCTTCAGTTTCACCAAGGCTGTTTGTTGCTTGTAGTAGAACTGTCGCCATACAGACCCAATACCCTGCAGAGATTGCAATAGAGGCATTAGTAATTGGTGCAAAACTTCTTTAGTTGAAGCAGCTGTATCTGTTAGGTCTTCCGTCTCTGTGGTACTCGACTGCAAGATCTTGACAAAGCTCCCCTCCCACAATCTCGCTAACTCTGCAGCAGCCTGATCGAAAAGTTCTCCTCCTTTCCACTCTTTATTGCATGAAGAGACTTCAAAGGTATCTAGTGATCGAATACACTCGAAGCTCTCATGAATGAGACGCTTGAGCGTTGAGTTCAACTCGCGAACCGCATCCCCTATGCAATGGATGAGCAGAAGATAGTTATCATTAGTATTTTGTTTCTCATGCGTAAGCTCCAGCGTCCGTGAGTTGAGCCTCTGGAGTTTCTGGCACAAAGTTATTGCCTGATGTTCTGACAAGCCAAACTCATGCCAAATAGCCTCTTGCAGAAGTACTTTTTCAGCTTCAGACTTCTTCTGTTCCAACGCAAGAGCTACAATACGATCCCAAGCATCCTGCATCTTCTCCAGCAAACCGTCGCGTTGGGATTTAATCTCAATAAAATTCAATTTCTCCTTTGAATGTTCTCTTCGTTGCTCCTCCATCGACCTCTTACACGCCCAAAGCCTTTGGGTGACCTCCTCTAGTTCGTGAGCAACTGTACGTCGCTCGGTCTCAGAGGCCTGCAGACGTATCTGTAGATTACTCTGATCGTCTTTGTAGTCAGCTATTGTGGTACGTGAATGTAAAAGCTTCCTTTCTAAGCGCTCAATCTTCCCACGAAGGCCAATGTCATCCTCCATCCTTATTTCCACCCCCGGCGGAAGACTCTGAACGCTTATGTTGTAACTTGCATCTGTGCAAAGTGTATCATGGTTAATGGTTGAAGCATCCTTAAATGGACTGCAAAGGTTTTGAGGTGTATGCGAAGGGAGATGATCCGCATCATTTTTACAACTGGCTAAGCGATCTCCAAGAGGTGTCACGCTGTGGGCTGTAGAGTCATCCTTATCACCGTTATCATGCTGAACTTCATGAAGATTGTCGAAACGACTCACTCCAAATGACGAAGGAGTTGGTGCAAAGGAAGGTAGTGATTCTTGGAACTTGGACATTAAAGCGCACGTTTAGTACTATTTATTTACACAATTTGAGTCGATAAAGTCAGCTATTTGCATAGCCAAACTATATGGAAAGTTTTTTAAACAAAGTAAAAAATACCACACTTTTTGTTCCAATACTGACTCTTTCTGTACGTATGTGTGTGTGCCCTTTTCTATACGCCTAGAAATGTAAGCAAGAGGTGGAGTAATTATATCTTTTTTTTAAGGCAAAGTAAAGATTAGTAAATAAAAATAATCGAATGCATATTACAGCCACCTAAAATTAAATAAGGATATCTACATGTGCGTAAGTCCAATTATGGTTATTACTCCGCACATTTTTCTTTTAGTTCAAAAGTCAGTGGGAATGCCCCATAGAATACAATACTTCCGCTCTTATAAAATGCATCGCTGCGAATGTGTCAACAAATAAATTTAAACTGAAAAATTATTACGTATCACTATGCACGAGTGTCTATTTTTTTTTTCGTACAAACACAACATCTTATGAATCGCACCCAGACGTTCATTGGCCTCAATGATTGACCTCGGTCCACGGCGATGTATAATCACGTCAAGAAGGGTGTCCGTCCACGCGTTCAGGCGCGTCATACCCATCTTTACTCTCTCATTTAAAGCCTCTAGACGTGCATAAAGTTTAGTTTCACGGACTTGCAGTAGATCTTCCTCTCTTTTAACCTCCTTAATGGTCTTTTCAATGTCATCTACCAGATTGTCTGTAGTGAGGTCGACCTCATCCGGGGGGAAGCCGCAAAGCCACTCCCGGTGACACTTCGCGACGCTACTCAACAGCCCCTCCAACTCCCCTCGCAAACCCTCTCGGGAGGAGGTGGTTTGGCCCCTGTCCAGGGGCGGCAGCCCCGGCCCGTCTTCACAGCGCAGGTCCTCAGCCTGGGCATAGAGAGCGGACTGCAACACACTCGCGACCTTCAGGACGACGCCCCGCCCGTCCCAGCCCCCCGTCCCTGGCCCCGCCACTTCAGGGAGGACCACCAGCTCCGTCTCCCCCAAGGCAAGGCTGGCCTCGGCAATCGCAAAGGGCACCCGAACCGCGAGCGGAGGGGGGGGTTCCGACGCCAGCCCGGCCAACCCCAGCCGTCCGGCCTCCACCTCGCGCCGGCAAGGACGGCCGCAGGGGGGGGAATAATACCCCCACCCCCCCTGCTCCCGCGACCACACGGGAAGGGCCACCACAAAGGCCTCATGGGGCCCAACCCGCAGCAGACAAATATTCCCGACGGTCGTGAGTTGGATCGTGTGGGTGGGGGTCGGGGCGGTCGCGGGGGAAACCAGCCCCCGCATCGACATCGCGTGGGAAAGCTGAAGTTGGAAAGAGGCCCGGGACTTGGCGGGTCCCATCCTCCCCGAACGCCCCCGATCCCGCGCGAGAAGGTCGGGCTCATCGACGTAGACCCCGCGGAGGATCCCACTGGAGTAAAACACCAACACTGCGTGGAGGCCGGCGTCCTCGTCGATGCAAAAGCAGGTGAGCGCAAGCGCCTCCTCGTCGTCATGCACACCGCAGGGGTCGACCATGCCGGGAAGAAGGTAGTGGATATCCGGCATCTCCGCGACCTCCGCCGCCCGCTGCCGCGCCGCCTCCACCTCGGTCGCATTCAAGGGCACCCGACCATCTTGTGAGGCTTCCGCCCCCATCGCGAGGCCGCCAAGGCTATCTAACTTTACCGCCCACACCTCACCATCCCGGCAAAGCATCAGCAGCGTCGTTGGAAGGCCACGGGTCGGTCGCACACAGCATATATCCACAAACTCGAGTACCGGGGGTTCGCTAAAATTTGGCGAATCCTCACAGATGGTGCTCAGCCCCGCTACTGAATTCTCGCGCAACCCCATCTCACGCGAGGCTGAGCAGATGGAGGATGAAGGGGAAACCACCGACGCGGCGCGCGTTCTCTGAAAGCTTCCGCACCCTTTTGAAGGCAAGGACTGGATAGAAGAATCGCTCGGCGTGGGTGCAAGGCGCATGGTATTAGGCCCCTTTCTTACTGTTGCCTCTTTAAAAGAACGGCTCACTTGCTGAACCGACGTAGACGCCGCCGCGGTGGTGACTTTAACAGGAAGGTGTGAACGACGCGAGAGGCTCTTGGGGGACACCTCGGAGTGGTTGGGCCCAACAGACGACTTCGCAAACGGCCGCTGCAACACTGATTGACCCGATCGGCGAACCTCCTGGACACCACGTAGTAGCCCAGCACGAGAGCTGGATAATTGCTTTTTCGACTTTCCACTGGCGGCGTCGTTGTCGATCCCCTTGGTAGGCATTCCCAAATCATTGATAAGCATCGAGGCCCTACGCACCTTTGACAAGGATCGAGGTGAGTCATTTGAGACCACAGCCGATTTTCCTGCTCCACCCTTCTTAGCTATTGGTCCGTTTAGCTCTTTTACTACAAAAGTGTGTGATAGCTTTGATGCCTCCGTGAGAGACGTAGATTCTCCAATTGATTTAATTGGTAGAGATTGTGATAGCTTGCGCTCTAGGACTCCATGAATTAAGGATTTCAGAGATACATAGTACATACAACGAGACATAAAGTGAAAGCTCGGTGCTGTCGTATCAAACACCATAAACACCCCCGATACCGACAACAGCAATAGCAAGTAGGGTCGTGCATGATGCCAACATATGCTTCGGATCGCTTCGAAGGTTTCAAAGGGAATGATATCAGTCGATTCGCCAATGTTGATAATGTAATGTCGATGACTGGTGTTGCTTATTGCGGCAATTATGTGCGCATCAGGTGATACATGGAGGCTGTAGCGCAAAAAAGAAATCCAGTCCGTATCCTTAGTAGCGTCCATCACTTCCTGAGGAGACTCGGGAAGTTTAAGGTCTGGTGGTTTAAGAGTAACAGTCTTGTGATCAGCGCCATCAGATGCCCTCCCTTGCTCTATTTCAAGGGAATGTAGATGAGGCTCCTTTCCCGATACTTTTGATGGAATAATCATATTCACACGAGTATCTTTTCCATTTTGTTCAGAATATTTTCGATAAGATGTAATAAACCGTTCAACCTCCACAGGATCATAGTTCAGAGAGGCATTGGGTGTGATGAGCACCCTACGTGTCAACCTTAACGGAACCACACGCTCCGCCTTTGGGAAAGAGCTTGTTATGAGAAAAATGTGACTACTACAATCGCGTGTGACTGCAACAAAGGTGTCGTTGCCAATGTGCACAACACCGTTGGAGAGCATGGGATTTCAAGAGTTAGCTAAACGAAAAGGTATCTCCTTCTTATGGGTAAATTTGATTAATATAGCTCTTCACACGTACAGTTACACTTCACAGTAGAGAATGCTGCAAAACTTCTTTCGGTGCTTAAAATGGTCTGCAAACCCTCTATAACAGGCGTATGACAATATGAAACAAAGGACAGTTCCCTTCTCTATGATATTTGTGTTTTACTTTAATAAAACAGAGACTCAGAAAATAAAAATGGGGTTAAAAGAGGAATGGTACAGCTGGCGGTAAAACGTTTTTACACTTTCATTCTACAACAACACAAGTCAGAAAACACTTATGAGTTGACATGTTGAGCATGGTCTAAAGATAGTTACTGCTTCACTTTAAAGTGTTAGAGCTTCTACATTATATAAATACAATTTAGAAGTAAACATTGTTTAATTTCTGGATCTCAATTATAAAATCCATTCTCCATATGTCCTCTCCACAAGAAAGTGTCTCAGTATTTGTAGAAAGAAGTAAGAGTGTAATACAAGATTTAATATTCAAAATTTAATATACATTGAAAATGAGAACCTGGTTGTTGTCAGTCACTCCAGGTAAACCATAATACTAAAAACGTACAGTATGTTACATCTACTCTGTAAGTCTTATTTGAAAAAAAGGTCAATTTGATATGGAAGGCATTCATACAAAATAAATTAATAATGTTTTTTTCAACTACACACTCCGAATGTTTTACCATTGTGTCAACTAATTCTATCGGCATTGAATTCCACCCGTTCAGTGGCTTACATCTTTTACATAGAGATCTGCTTACTACAAGCTACCTCTTCCAGAGAATCCTATCGTAATTGGTAGAGCTAGAAAGTACTATAAAATAAAAAAGCTAATTTAAGATCACTTGCAAATCACACGATCCCATTCCTTGTATGTTAATCTGTGTTTCCATGTATCCATTCCCTAGATTCCCCTCCCATACACACCCCCGTATCTTTATGACACAATGCCAGAGGGGATGTTGTACACGGATAGCTTGATGTGTCCATCCTGTGAAACAGGTCGTCCTGACACAAAAGCGGCAGGACACTTACGCTGCAAACACGTTGGTGGGATGACGTAAGTCTCCGAGCTGATGGTCTGGAAGTCACGGTTTTCAGGGACAGGTACGAAGCCCTTGTTCATGTTGGCCGAACGCGCCGGCGGCGCCTCCTTCGCGGGGTAGTCTACCATATAACTGGAGACTCCATCAAAGGGGAGGTCCGGTTGCGCGGTAGACTCGCTCTTGAAGCTCTTGGGTGGCTTGGGTAATTTGCTGTTAGCAGAAAGCTTCTTGATGGGATCATCCATCGCACCTTTGGTGGTGTCGTATATGCCTTGTAGCGATGGCATCGGCTCTTGTTTCGGCTTTGTGCGTCGATACTCAGGCATGTAACCAGGATAATCTGTACGATTCGTCGTATTGGCGTCAAATGGTAGGTTTTCCCTTGCTTCGTGCCGCGGCTTGTACGATTCTGCAGGATGAATATGTTTTCCCTCGATCAGCTCAGCGGCCTCCTGTTTGGTTGTCTTAAAATGACCAGGTTCAGCTTTTGTAGAATGAAGAACTTGCTTCTTGCGTCCTCCCTGATCATGATCGGCCTCCTTTGGCACGTACTCGTTACGGTAGGTGGTCTCTCCAATAAATGGTATTTTTAGACCAGGGCAACGGTGCTTTCCGCATTCGCAGATACGACAAACACAGGTTCGACCATCACCGTAGTCTAAGCTGGCAACGGAATGTAGCTGAGTCATTCTTCTTCACTTTACGCTGTAAGTTTTTCCTTTTTCTTTTCTTTCCTATTAGTCTTTTCAAAAAAATCCAAACAAATAAATTGAACTTCCTGAATACGAAAAATCTTTTTAGAAAATATCCTTTTAGATGCTAAAACACATATTGGGATATATATATGCATTAAAGGAAAAGTGAAATAGATAGATGATAGAAGCAATAATTAATCCTTTTTTTAATGATCCAATAACCTCAGAAAATCGTTACAATACATATTTTACATGATTACATATATTATAATAGGATTGATGATTTTGTTTACATATGTCAGGCCCTATCATTAGTACCGAACACTCTAAATATTGAAAAAAATATACACATAAAGTCTGTAAAATACGATAAAATAAAAAATGACGGTTTAATGTAATAGATATACATAACACAATGATCATAAAATTGTATAACGATAAGTGGGTTGATTTGAAAAGGGATGAATGAGAGAATATACATGTCAGAATTATTTTTAAAGCAGTCAAATTAAAAGCTCACCAGCACCAGAAAAAGGTAAACACCTAAATTGTTCTTTCTTTGCACTTTGCAACGCAATCTTTTTGGAGCATAAGAACATGGTATGTCAGTTCTGGAAGAGTCCATTCCTTCGTGGAGCGCAAGACTGAACCAAAGGGTAACACCTTACCACTTTGGACCTCCGTCTTAGGTAATGTTAAGGTCCTGAGGTACTCCATCACCTCACCCTTTGTGGAGCACGGTGAAGTGGCTATGTGTTTTATGCCGGTATTTGAGATGGGTTCGTTTGACAAGGCATGGCTAAAAACAGAAGGTGTATCATTTACATCATCTCCGACGTTAATCACCCCATTAAATTTCTTAGGGTTTGTTGCAGCTACATCACACTGGGCAGCAGCCTCTTCGTTATTGTAGTACAGCCCCTCACGGTCGGATGCCTTGAATTGACGAAGCGAGGCCTCCTCTACGACCTGAGCGACGCCCGTCTTTGGCAGGATGGAGTTGCCATAATATGCATCCTGCGCTCGCTCCCACGCATCCTCAGGACTGATGCGGTGTGTGCTGAAACTACCCACCCACGGCGGGGTGACGTCCATTGAGAACCGCTCAGGAACTATACGATCCCGATCAACGCCTGGATTGTAACAGGCCCCGTTACGGCCAATAGGAAACTTTACCACATTTCCACACGGATACATGCAGCGGCCGTACATATGCTTGCCGTGAACCCCCTCCGGGAGCTTTTTAGGTTGCGCAAGTCGCCGCAGATGGGAACTTCGCGCAACCTTTTGAGGGCCTTGCCCTCTTTCCAAAGTGCCCAGGCCACATGGATGTGTCGCCTTGAAGGTAGGAGATTGCCGCTGTGGTTTGCCGTTTCCATCTTTCGCGATCTTCGTGGGATATGGATCTTTCTGAGCGTCGGCGTATCGCCGTATGGCCTCGCCTTGGAATTCAAGAGACTGCACAGCGGATTGCTGTTGCTGCTGTTGGTCACGCTGAAGAATAGCTTTTACACGTGCAGCATCCTCTCGGCGGACGAACTCAGTGAAGTTATTGTATTGATTTGTTGTATGGTGTTCAAAACGTGGTCCACCCCAGCCCATGATTCGTCTTGGTATGTTCTACTCTACTATTGTGGGTGGAGTGGATTTCGCCCTCTAGAAATGAAAGACTGTAAGTTTAACAGAAAAATAAATGTATACAGAAAATGTGCGAAAGGAAAACCAAAATAAAGAATTCATTCATTAATGTATGTTATATAAAATTCTATACAGGTTTAAAAGGGAATAAAACTGTCAAAAAAAAAGACAAATAGTAAAAATTGTTAAATATATAGAGAGAGAAATATATGAATGTATGTTAGATTCGCATAATCATGACATCAGTTGAAAACTGGTGAGTTAAATGTCATAGAACTCATGCAGCACCTCCTTTAGCAACAAACCTCCCTTATCGGAAGAACGGGGTTGCCTCAGCCCAATCACCTCAGTCATGGTTACCCCACGCAACGGGCGGTTGGTGGAAGCGCAGAAGTACGGATAGGATTTTCCAAAAAAAACGCCGTCAAATACAACCCATGAGTCGTCGGTGCTTTGGTTAGAAGTTTGGGAAACTCCACGCGTGGCGGCTCCAAGGGTTTCTGTCCAGTTTTGCGTAACCCGGTACCCCTGGTTGAGCACTGCGGAATGCTCTGCTATAATGTTTGCAAGGAATTTTTCCTTATCGGAGGTTACCTCCCCGCGCTCCTTTGGCAATTCCGAAGCATCGTCCATGAAGATGTGCTTCTTAATCAACATAGGCACATCCCACCAAAGTGGGATTACCAACAAATAGTCTACCGATAATTTGATTTCCTTCGCCGCCGCTATATTCTGAATATCTTTAGCTAGCTTTTGAAAGAGTAGCTCACAGATATCTTCATCGTATGGTACATCCAACGTCAGGAGTAGAGGCCTTTGGGGCAGGTTCACTTCCGAACACAAATCGTACAAGGAAGCAGAATCCACATTGAGCGCATTCCCGATGCTTCCAAAGTACGAATCCGTATCATAAAAGGCCGAGCAGAAGCGATTCGGCACGATAACCTTTTTATCATGATTGAGGCACCCTTCTTGGGTCAATCTGGGTGCTGGAGCCCCGGATGACGAATCCACCTTCGGCCTGAACGACCCCATCTGAGGGAAGTCCATATAAGCATTAATGGGGGATGAGCAGAGATCTATTACATGGTAGCCTCGGAAATCGAGATGTCGCTTAAGGGCGACGTCGGCGCAGAGCTGCAGTGAGCCCGTGAAGAGCCCAACTTCGTAGCGCAGCGCAGCAGTGGCGGCACGGTAGGTAAAGCACTGATCTCGCGAAAAAGACGCAAAGTAGTGTCCATCAAAAGCAGGTCCGAAGACTTCATAGCTGCGAAAAAGTTTATCCCACACGACCCACGGGATCGACGCGGATGGGCAGGGGGGATATTCTTTCCGCATCTGCGAACCCCGTGGCCGCACAGCAGTTATTTGCGCTACCAAACCTTGGATGCGCTTTTGATAGTTACTTCGAGAATTGTTGTCTTCGCTCACTTTTCGGAGATCTGGAGCATAGATATCAGAAGTACTGGAATTAAGTCCTACTAATTGCTCCTGTACAGACTTGTAGGCTGAAAAACAGCGCCCATATAGGTCAAAATCATTTAGAAGATCCTTTATCCTCCCAATTACAACAGGCTTGTGTGCTCCATCGCTCTTCAAAGATAAATCACGGATTAGCTGTTCGTTATATAGCTCTGAAGGAAGCTTGAGTATAAATTTATCAAAGTCTTCTTTACCATTCGGATTGGATACTGGTTTAACGATAAAAGAAAAAAATCCACCAGGCACATCATTAACCTTACAACGTGCTACCTGCGACAAAACCCATTTTCCTAGTGCTTCTCGACTATGGCGCCATAGCTTATCCTTTTCGTTCCATGTAATTCGATTGTATGGATTACTTAGTACCTCCATAAACTCATCCCGAATGGCAATCCACTTCGAAATGCTAAGTACTTCCTGATGAAATGCGAGAGCTGGGTGAAGATTTGTAGTCCCTGATAAAATATTGTGTTTCATTGTTAAGGTTTAGTATAGTGCTTAATTTGTCAATCTAACTAAGAAGCTGTTTGTGAATGAATATACCTGGGTTCTCGCTGACTTCTTAATTTCCTTCTTATTCCTATGTTTAAAAAACGACTGGTACGATTTTTTGTCTTTGAACATAAATGGATTTAATAAAATTTCTAGACTTGATAAATAAAGAAATATATAAAGAAGGTACGGCGTAATCACAAAAAAAAACACCCCTCGCTATGCCACATGTCACACATAAGAAAAATAGGGACACGATAGGCAAAGGAGATGTGTAAAAGAAAAACATATTTCAAGGGATATATCACACTTGGTGTCTTGTTGCTGCTGTACTTGTGTGAATACTTAATGATTGCATCAGGCCTATAGAGAGAGATTAGATTCAATAACAAAATAGGCGCGGGTTTCAGCCTCAGACCCGTGTAGCTTGCGCGGCAGCATGAAGCACGTCCCACAACCCTGTAAAAACGGACCCCACGCTATCAGCAATGATGGTCTGAAGGTATTGCGTAGCCTGCGCGCTGTTAAGATCTAGTCGTAGCTTGTCTTGTACCTGCATAAGAATGAGATATGGGTCTACAGCCTCATTTCCGGTAATCTGCGGCAACGAGCGTGCATTACTCATAAGTTGAAGCATATGTAAGAAAAGTGCAGCATGCTTGCGTAAAATATTATACGCACTACAACAATAGGATTTGAACTCAACATACCCAACGCTCTGGGGACCACCCAAAACGTCGATCATCTCGCGGCTTATCTTCATTGGCGGTGGAAACAGTTTCGGGTCGTTGCCCAAAATATAACCAAAGTCAATGTGAAGCAGCCGCCCGTCCTGCGCAACGAGGATATTCTCAAGATGACGATCCCCAATACCCAGCACGAAGGTTAGAACGCAATAACCTGCGAAGCTCCGTTTATACCGATCCATTGCCTCTTGCATCCCCAAGTGGGTAGAGTTGTGTTGACGTAAGTACTTAAGCACATCACGCTGAACACTCTGGAAAGTAACGACATTAAGGACAACTTCAATAAGTCCTTCGTTGGGACCCGTGGCGACCACGCGGTAGGGCGTCAAACACAAATCCAAGCCGTCCTGCCGCAGGAGACTATCCACCCAGTATAAAAGCTGCAAGACAAGCTGATCCTGCCGCACGTCATCGTTCAGCTTGAACATCAAGGGTAACTCGACAATAGCGTTCGATGAGGCGCCAAAGGCCAATGGCCTGAAAACGTCCGTGTCCTGTATCATCTCAGCCGTATCGCTCAAAGCGCGCAGGTCGGTAGAGACTTTCTCTCCCACAGATGAATTTTCCTCGAGCTCTTCCTCCTCTTTAATCGGTCCAGGGACCCTCTCACGGGGTGAAAAACGGCCACCCTCAAAGGAGGCCTTCGATGCGGTCAAGTCGTCTCCCGTTTCTGGGGCGAACTGGGGAGAATTGGGGGAGCGGGCTGCCAATCGAAACACCACCTGCACCGGGAGCTTGGAGCTTTTGAAGATGGAGAAGCCGGAACTACAGACCCCATCGAACACCACAGCAGGATGGCATGGCAGGGTAGCCGTGCTGGAAAGGTCAAGACGATGATCGTGAATATCGTCCGAGCGCTCATTCCTTTTGTTGGCGTTCATAGCAAGCGGAATACTGGGTAATTCTGACTGAGCTTCAGTGTCACCGAGCCGTGAGAAAACCATATCAAAGCCACATGCCATCCTTTCCAATAATCTCCTGCCAAGCTCGATCTTACCTGGCCGGTCAGTGGAGGCCTTCTGAAGCGTGGAGCAGAGCTCGCGCAGGGAATCAACTAAACGCTGTTGGCACTGAAGACGGTTAAGAAAAAAAGGGTGGGTTTTTCTCAACCTATCCTCTAACTGATGGAAAAAGGTGCAAATGGGTGATTCCGGTTCCGCCGGCGGCCGTTGTCCGACCTCACTCTCAAGAGCACCCTCCACGTAGCACCCCCAATATAGTGAGCAGCAAAGCTCCCAGTGTCGGGAGGCACGGTTGAGCAGAAAAGAAGTCAACTCCTTGGATTTGCTCTCGTAGCGAAGCGCCTGAATAAGAAAAACGGACAACCAGCACAGCCTCGCATTGTCCTCACGGCTTAGCAGCTTCACGGCGAACTGCCGCACCGGCGCCACGCCGCTAAAAAGCCTCGACAGGCAACTGAGCACCTCCGCCAGGCCAACGGACTTGCATTCCGCGATAAGCTCCGTGGCCACCCGTCCTTCCGCCGAGTGAGGCTGGCTCCAGTCGACGGTACGCAAAAAAGTGAGAAAAAGCCGCGGGTCTTTGCAGACAAAATGGCGATACTTCCACAGCAGCGCAACGTCCTCGATGCGCGGCGAATCGAACTGGATCGGCTGCCGAGCGGCGAGCTCCATCAAACGTCGCCGCTCCCATATCCCTGGTGTTGCCGTGGTATCGTATAAAAGGTAAAGCGAACGGGCCTGAATGGCGGCCATCGCCTCGCAAATGTTGTGATTTCTAAAAAGGTAATAGTGGTCTACGTAAGGGGTATTGGCATCCGCCTCGTACGCCTTCAATAAAGTTGTTGTAGTATAGTACATATTGGAGTCCTTAACGCCAAGGAACCCTTCTGGCGTATGTTGGGCTAAAATTGGTATAGGCTCAGAAGGTAGCGGTAAGTAAAGCCGCAGATAAGTTTTTTCGTGTCCCTGTGAAGGCCCATCACTTGATGACATCAGTTTATTTTCACTCTTCTCAACTGAGGTGACCAACCGCGCTTCATGTTGTAGAAAGTCCTCCGTTATCGCATCCAACCAGGGAATATTAGGAAACATGCCACGATATCGCGCATGAAGCAACGATTCTCCAAAAACATTCTCCTGAATAGATGACGATACGGAGGCAGAGGAATCCCTCCGATTACTCCCATACTCCTTCCCATCGTGAGAAGGAATCTCGTTATCGGAAAACTCATGGAACACCACCTCCCCTCCAACCTCTGGAGGACGCCGCAGCTCGCACGCCAACCGCCCCATTCGCAATTCCCCCACCAAATTAAAAGGGTGAAATCGCGATACGCCGAGGCAGCTCCCACCCTTCGAGTCGTACACGCGGCAATCCACAACTGCATCCAGCGGAAGATCACACAGCCGCAGTGGGAACATCACCCACTCCTGAAGAAGTTGGACATCCGGAGGGGCGAGCCCGGAGGACTCGTTGGACCGCTGAGGCGTGGAAACGCAAGACTGGATCACCGGCGTGAGCGTCTCCTCACAGTGCAGAACCTGAAGGCTCACGATGAGGCTGTTGACCGTGGTCTCCCGAAATCCGAGCCCACACAGTGAGCTCTTGGACGTCAAATCTACTTTTCCCGGGCTTGCGAAGATGCCTTGAAGGTCATACAAATAAACAGAGAAATAGCTCTTTACAAGTTGATTGGTGGTCACGTAGTGAGATGGATGATGGGTCCATCGAAAAGGATCCAGGGCCTCATAGCGCCTTCGGTCGATCAAAGCTTGCGACGCGAGCAGTTTATCATTTATCATTCCTGAACTCACCGCTGCTGAAATGAAAAAGGGAAGAAAGGGTCACAAACGCTGTGCCTCCTCCCAGAACAGAAAATGAAAATGAAAACCGGCTTCGACTAATCCAAGCTTTTTCCTATTTAAAAAAAAATGTTGGGTTAGTTTGGTTTGGTTTTTAAGATGTGGAGGGATAACCTACTGATGTTATAGTTCATCAAAAATACCTTAAAGTAAAACTGCGCTCAAATAACACGTTTCAATTGGTTATATATATATATATATATGCTTTTTTTTAGGTCTATTGTAGCATCACTCGTTGCCCTACCATTATCTCTATCCCATTTGCGTTAATCATACTGAACTATGTGGATCCAAATGTATCCCCTTTTCATGTTTTTGATCACCCTTTCTCCACCAAATATCACACGTTCTATTTTACATTACGGTGGTACGAGTACGTGCGCCCGCTCCTCTCAGTATCCCACTCCGAAGAAAGTTGAACAAAGTAGCCAACGATTATAAACGCGTAGGGTTAATACCCGGCCTCGTGTACTAAATCAAAGTAGGTACCAGCCACAATCTCACGACGCAATGGCTTGGTGTTGGTCTCACATTTTGCAAGACCTACAGGAGCTAATGAAGGAATTCCAAGCATTTCACAGAGCGCGTTTCGAGCCTGCCGCACCTTGTTCGCCTCCGCACCATCCCACTGGGTGGAAAGAAGATGCTTCATGGCGCGCAAGCAGCTATCGCGCTCCTTTCCCACATCCAACGTTGAATCCGCGTCGGATAAGGACCAGACGGTGGACGTCCAGACTAAAAGAGCCGTATAGAATTCCGTCGCCATCTTACTGCGCACTTTCGGATAACGACTCGCAATCACAACAAGCGCCAGAGACCAGGCATCGTTGCGAGAAACCGAATCCGCAATATGGCATAGGTTCCCCAGTAAACTCACGAGAACAAAAAGCACTGTAATCGTCGTCGCGAAGTGTTTAAACTCCTGCCGTAGTATCGTAATCAGAGCCGAGTGTTGAATGTCTGAAAAGACCCCTGCATTCAGTAAGCTGTTTAGAACGCGGCTCAAGGGAACTAAGACGCGCTCAACATGGCTATGCGTCGTGGCGACCTCAATCAAACTCGCCGAAAGACGATGTCGACGCTCCTCGTGTGCGTCGTCGCTGGCAGGTCCAAAAGAGAGAAGTAAAGCCTCGAGCCCAGGTCCGCTGACATGAGCGGAAAGATCCCCTGCCGATAGTACCAATCCTTCCATGGTTGACTGTGCATAAAGCGTGGGGCAGCGCTGGAGTAATTCGACCCCAAAAGGAATTAAAACTTCCTGAGGAGAAGTCCAGTTCTCACGCTGCGCGCGCATAACCAGTCTCTGTACAACCCGCGTCTCCGATACCACCGCTTCGTCAGCAATCCCGAGCTTGTTGGAGTCTATGGCGTCTACCAAATCGACCGGTGGGGGGGTTTCCGGAGAACCGAATAGACGGATCAGCGTCGCCAGCGCCACCCCACGGACGCGATCTAATTTCTCCATCATCACCCGTATGATATTCTGCAAAACGCGCCCTAACAGCGATGCGTCGCACCACGGCGGCGAGCCTTGTGAAAGCGTTCGAGAAAGACCAGCAAATACGACCGCCGGCAGGGCATTCAAGGCCTCCAAACGCACAAAGGAACCTACATCCCCGCGCTTGTCCACTGCGTAATCGTGCAATGCCGCCAAAAGTACCTCAACGACCTGCCGGTAGCGCGCCATCCCGATATCGACGTCGGGTTGGAGGGTTGTCATGACTCGTCCAAGCGACTGGACGGCATTGCGGCGGGCCTCGACGTCGTCGAGCTCTGGATCGCTGAGCCCCGCCCGAGTGCCGCGCACGACCTCGCAAAGCACCTCAAGCACCGACACATAATAGGGCGCCGCTTGAAATGACGAATTTGAATTCGGCCGTGATGCGGTCAGCAAACTAAGGGGAAGCCCACCTAAACCAGCCAAGAAGCCCCGACGCTCCAACGGATGGCCTTTCTCTGTTGAGCACGTCTCGAGTATTTTTTCCATCACCTTTCCATGAAACTTGGGCTGAAACTCAGTATAGTAGGCGCGCGCGATCACATGGAAGGCCTCTGCCGCGGCGTCCTGAACCCAAACAAGGATATTACGCCAGGAATCCTCCAGGAACTCTTGAATCTTTGCCAGGGTGCGCGCCTTGCCGCGCTCCCCGCTCAGTTTGGTCACGCTGACAAACTCCGGGAGGGGTAGGCCGCTCTCCGCGCAGGCTTGAAGAAGTTGACAAACCGCCTGGCGAAGGTACTCCCCACCGCGAGAGCGAAAAAAATGCCCTGCGTCCAGCCGCCCCAACACCTGCGCGATCTCCTCGCACTGCCGGCTCGACCAGGCCTCGCGAGGCCGCTTCCGAACGATCCCGCTGAGGGCGAGCACCGCACCGTGGCGAGTCGCCAACAACGGGTCCACCACCCGCCCGTGCAGCTCCGTCAAGACGTCCTCAAAGGTAGAATAATCCTCCAAAAGAACAATCTCCCCAAGGGCGGTCGCGGCGCACTGCCGGACCGCCCGATCCCAGTGATTCACCTTTGCCCCCATCAACACCTCCAACATCCTAGGGCGATAGGTGTCGTGGGTCGCGATTTGCGGCGCCACCCCGCCGTACGCGTTCTTTAACGAGGCCAGCGAAAAGAAATCCATCAAGGTGACCAGCAAAATCCCCGATGGGAAGCTTCCGAGGCGGCCGACGCATTCCTGAAAAGCCGCCGCGGCGGCCCGTCGAACGTTGACCTCGCGATCGAAAAGCGCCGTGGCGACGAGATGGGTGCTGAGGGTCCGCACGTGCGGCTCCACATCCGCCGCATCGTAGGCCCGCGGGATGGACCAACACGCATAACACGCGGCATCCCGCACGTGCGCCCCCACGCTGTAGGTGCCTTTACTCAAATCAAACGAAAGCCCCTCGCGAATAAATCCCACGGCGCGGGGGAGGCAGGAGGGGTCGACCAACCCCCGCCGACAGAGCTCCGCGAGGGCCAAAAGCCCCCCATGCCAGTGCGCATCCCGATCGACCGCCGCGAAGACGTCGTAGACCGAGAGCACCACCTCGTTTGAAAAGTCCGCCGGCAGACGCTCGCAAACCCGCCCGATCCCTTTCGCGGCGCTCCACCGCACGACGGTATCTTTATGCCCCAGCCCCTCCAACAGCAGCCCAATCCCCTCCTCCAACGCGGCGGCATCCCCCTCAATCGCGTCCACGTCGTCGGAGGTGAAATCCCCGTCAGGAGGCCCGCCCCCGCCCTCAGAATGGGCTTTTTCGCCAAGGTTCGCCGCGAGGGAGGTGATATCCCGCCGATGATACCGCCACGAGGCCAGACGATTCCGCAGCATACAAAGACATAATCGCTGACCCACTTTCATCGCGGTTTTACACCACAGCGAATCCCCCCGATGATGCCCAAAAAGCCGCCCCACACTGGACAACAACGCCGCGGTATAGGGCAGCATCTCCAGCCGCTGGCCGAGTTTGAGGGTCTTCGCCACCGCCAAAAGCACCCCGGGAACGTTCAACCCGCGGACTTCGCCGACCGTTGGGCGCGAAGTCGCCCCGCCAATCCCCGGCGGGGGTTCCACCAAAAGGCGCCGAAGAAAAGCCCCCTCCGGGATCGTAAGGCCCAGCTCAGAGGGCGTTGAAAGGGGGTCCGGTTGGGGAAGACCGGCGGTCAGGATTGCCTGAGCGTAGGAAAAGAACACGCGACGATGGCGATGGCTGTCCGGGCGCGTGAGCAGCCGCGCGATCACCAACGCCGCCCCCTCCCGACATTTCGAGGCGTCGCCCAGAAAAGAAATCGCCGTTGTCAGGACCGCATCCGACAAAGAACCCCCTTCGCCCGGAGAATCCCCTTCCCCGCAGGGTGGATTGCCGTGGGAGGCGGTTAGTTGCTTGGAATCGATGCTGTTTAGGTCAAAAGGGACTAAAATAAGGTTGGAGAGCCATAAAAGCAGGCAGTAGCGCACCTCCCACTCGCGCAGTCGGAGCGGATCCGCCTTCCACAGCTGAAGCGCGTAGAAAACATCCTCATAATAGCGCACCTCGCTAGGAAAGTGGCTAGTGGTGTTCTTTTCCCCCGCCGTCTTAACTAAGGCATAGAGCGCTCGGCAGACTAAGTGAAGGGGTGTTTTCGGGGCATCCATATCGAACATATCAAAGTTCTGCCCCAAGGCGTTGGGCTCGAGAAGGAGGGCGTCTTCGTGGGAGCAGTTTACCCCCCTATCCGTGCAGGCCTGCTGAGCGGAATCCTTCGCGTGATCGCGGCCGAGGTTGGGATCCCACGGCTCCGTCTGGCCGAGCACATCCAACCCCCCCCACCCCTCTGTCGCGGGTGGTAAATAACGCAGAACCAGCCCTACCAAAGGCCCCACCATCCCCTCCAAGTAGGGGTGAAGTAAATACGGATTCTCCTGATAGCGGTCGAGCACCTTGGCGAACCGTTCCACGAGGCCCGCCACGCCATCCGGCTCCTGGCCCACAGAAGGCAACAATACCGTCTTATCCGCCGGCAATTCGGAGCCCAGACGACGTAGAAGGTCCTCACACAGCCCGGCATCCTCAAAAAAGCCGGGCTCGCAGGCCTCCTCATCCCCCGGTCTAGGCCGATCCTCTTTGGAGGATGAGGACGCGAGCTCGGGGTCGGCGGCCCCCGCACTGAGATTCACAAGCCCCGTTGGATCGCCTGAAAGGCTGGGAAACCCCACACAGGTCGACATAGGGTCTCACAGCCACGTTGAGTATATCGATTGCAGCTTACTTTCAAATCTAAACACAAAATAACTCCTTACACTCAGTCATAATAATATGAATAATAAAATAAAGTGATGAGACAGATCGTATAAAGCGGTTGTAAAATATAATGCAATAAAAAAAACTTGAATCAAAATTAAATATATCACTGGAAGTGGGACATGTCTCTCTACTCTCTATTAGTGTATCTTACTTACCAACAAAAAAGCATTCATCAATAACACGATTGTACATAACCTACAGATGTTAGGAAGTAATAATAAAACTTTTCAGAGGAAGAGGATAAAGTAGACTAAAATGCATTTAAACTATATGGAAAGCCACTACTGATAGTTTTAGAACTGATTCGTTTATCTTCTTATTCATCTAAGTTTGGCGCTGTCTTAAGTGTAAATCCGTGAATTTTTTTTATTTCGTGTTTAAGAACTTCATTCACAATGCGATGTTGCTGGATCAAACTTTTCCCTTCGAACACAGGAGAAGCAACCTGAATATTAAAAAAACTCCCGCACCCAGCGCTGACATCCTGCACTGCTACATGAAGAACCGGTTTTAAAATCTCACTGGACCTAATTTTGGCCTCTATTTGTTCCGAAGTGAGTCGGATAGAAAGACGCCGTAACGAAGCACAAAGCATTCCCTTCGTTGTGCAATTATCACTTCATTTCACGAATAAACAATAAAAGAAACCCCTAATAAATCGCTATAATTAGTTAAATTATAACCATCCTTGATTTATCTTGATCAAATTAAAATAAAAAAGACCGGGAAGTGTAAAATATGATAAGCGAAAATAAAACACAGAAAATATATATATCATGTCAAAGGTTGGAAATTTTGGAACATTACCAAGATGAAACACCTAAAATATTTCTATTTCTTTAAGATTAAATTATTGCTAGGAAAACATATAATTGTTAATATAAAATTTTATATACCATAGCACGAATTAGAAAACTAAAAATATATATTTATCTTCTTGGAAATTGTTATTCTTTATTCAGATTAAATTTAATATCTTTACAAACTGTTGATGTTCATCCACTGTTTATTATACTGAAAATCCTTTGTATCGATCATACAACAGTGCATCAGACTTGGAGTCTCACAAAGCACGCTACAATTAGATTATAGAAATAGTAGCTGACCTTGTAAATTTACTAAATTATAAATATGTATAAGGCCAATCTATGTCAAAACTTGAACTCCAATGATTTCTGAAATACTTCCACTAATGTTTTTTGTCTCTATCCCTTAAAGAAACTCCAGCAAAATAATCGAATTCGAATTGGCAAAGTAAACCAACTTATGTACGTATCTCCAATTAGTATATATGTATATACAATGAGAAATTTTTTTCATAGTTTTTAGTTTCTGAAATAGGAATGGTAAAGTATGTAGAATCGAAAATTGAGATCTATATATATACCTAGGCACATCAATATCAATGTATATATAGATATTTCATATGTGTGAATATATATGATCATTTATATAGAACGATTCCATCAACAACATTGTCGTATGATATTTAAGCGAAAGGAAAATAATAAATAAGGCATAGTTTCTAAAATTATATTGGTTATCTAGATTCAACATCACAATGAGCGAAATGAATCATTCATTGAACAAAAAAAATATATAATTCTGTCACAGATCGGATGTATTTAAAACACTCGAAGTTAATAATAGCTAGCACTAATTGGGGGTATGATAAAAAGAATGAAACAAAACCTAAATTTATGGCAAGCCCAGTGAAATATCAGTCAATGTAATTTCCGCTTAGATAAAAATGGAAAATTTGGGTCAGTGAGTTATATATTCACCCACAATACATTACTCATAAAAATTCTGAAATATAAATGCATTTAAATAAATAAAACCAAAATTTTTTACCCATAAAAAAAAAGAAATATACCTAAATTCATTCTTGAAAAATCTACTTGAGTGGTGTCTGAAGTACGTACCTAACCCTCAAATAACTTCATCCTGACAGAGAAATGCGATAGAACGCATTAAACTCCCCGGCATCGCGCCTTATGATTGTTGAAACCCAGCAAACCCCGTACGACGTATTGTTAGTTAACCCAACCCAACCCCCATACACCGGCTTGGCGTGAGAAACCCCTATTACTTCGACTGGCAATACTCATTGGAGATGTCATGCGTTTTTTTATGATAACAAAGAAGGGAAAGACAGGTCAGGGAGCCCTCCGCCTTGGCGATCTCGTCCATCTCGGTCTCAAGGACCTCCGTAGGGCGACCCGCATTCGTCTCGCGCTGGGCGAAGTCCCGCACGAGCTCGGAGGTCTTGGGGTAGCCGGCGTTGATCACCACCACGCGCTTCGCGCGGGTGCCGTCGGGGAATTGCACGGTAAAGGATAAAGGGTTGCTCCCGCCTTCCTCCGAGGCCGGCGCGGACAGCACCTCAAT